GTGTGTGTGTGTGTGTGTGTGTGTGTGTGTGTGTCTGTGTGTGTGTGTGTGTTTGTGTTTGTGTTTGTGTTTGTGTGTTTGTGTGTGTTTGTGTGTGCTTGTGTGTGTTTGTGTGTGTTTGTGTTTGTGTGTGTTTGTGTGTGTTTGTGTGTTTGTGTGTTTGTGTGTTTGTGTGTTTGTGTGTTTGTGTGTTTGTGTGTTTGTGTTTGTGTGTGTGTGTGTGCGGTGTGTGCGCGCGGGTTGTGGGTGCGTGAGCGCGGGGTGTGTGTGTGTGTGTGCGTGCGTGCGGGGTGTGTGTGTGTGTGCGTGCGTGCGGGGTGTGTATGTGCGTGCGTGCGTGCGTGGGTGGGTGGGTGGGTGGGTGGGTGGGAATGTGCGTGTGCGTGCGCGTGCGCGTGTGCGTGTGCGTGTGCGTGTGCGTGTGCGTGTGCGTGTTCGTGTTCGTGTGCGTGGTGTTTGTTTGTTTGTTTGTTTAGTTTTTTTGTGTTTGTTTGTTTGCTTGCTTGCTTGCTTGGTTGGTTGGTTGTTCTGTTGTTTGGTTGTTTGGTTGTTTGGTTGTTTGTTTGTTTGTTTGCTTGTTTGTTTGTTTGTTTTTTGTTGGGTGGGGGGGGGGTGGCCTTCGGCAAGCCTGCACACCAAGGTGCAAAGGGTACCATCCAAAAACGCAAACACACAAAGACACTCACAAGCAGTGCCTTCACTTTCAGCAGATGGACCCACCACCCCGCCTTTCCACAGACTCGGGGGGGCCCTCCAGCACCTGGTAAACCACCATGTTCCTGCCCCGAAGGCTCGCAAGTTCGCATGGCCTGATTCCCAACGGCGTTGGAAGAGGTCCCCAAACAGCAACATCCATTTAAAGATCCTAAAGAACAATGCAGGTGGCATCCACAGCTTCAATACTTGAGTCTGACTGCGCAATCACCCATATTCTTGCAATTTAATCTGCAGTTTAAGCCGAAAAGGGTAGGGGTGTCCTTTTACAACGAACCAAACAAGGACGCCCCCCCTCTTTGGAAACACCTGAGCGGAGCCCGGGAAGACTCACAGCACAACCGATGCAGCACAGCCACAATTAGACCATCCCACGCGCAGTCCTGTCATTGTACAGCATCCAGCCAGTGATCCCATTCTTGTTGTTGTGTGCCTGGGGCATGCCAAACACGGGGCAATCCAATCAAAGCGGCCCATGCGCTCGCCAATCGCGGACTGCCAGCTACAACATGTCACGCTACATCCCCTGAGCTCAGCGCGACCGCATGGGGCACAATCTCCTTTGTCACCGTGTCCGGGTTGACGACCGCCTCGTTGATAACGGATTTGTACATCAATTGCCTGGGTCGACGCAGGAGCGGCATTTTGGCAGTGAGGACGCCACCGGCGCCCGGGAAAGATTGCCCAAGAAATCACATTCAAGACCACTTGACACGGAGACTGGCATCAGACATTGCAATCGCGCTCACTCTCAAACCGAAAGCGGTTTGCCAAGCCTCTCAGCGTGCAAAGAACCCTGGCCAGGCTCCCCCCCCCGCATCACATACCAAAAAGCCTCAATCACAGTCTGTTGGGTTCGCGGAGGGGTGCCATCCTGGGTGTCCGGCATGAGGTTTGTACAATCGCTGCCGGATTGGGAGGCCGCACCTGGCCGAGCCACGCTTGGGCGAGGAATTGGGAGCATGGAAGTTTTCGTGTTTCAGCTTACTCCTAATTGGTGATTTACCCTTTAAAGGAACCAGGGGTGCAAAACCAACTAATTAAGGGTTACCTGAGTAGCGGTGCCAGGCGCAAACAAAATACGCACTGTAGCGCATCTCAGACTAAAACGAAAGCAGTTAGCAAGAGGGCACAAGTTCGCCCGAAGGAAACGCAGCTCAACACGAAAAACACCAGCACCGCCCATCAACGTGTTGGGAATTGCCCACTGTGATAACACTGGAAGGCCTTCCCAATGTGCTCCCAGGTATCACCGAAGTTGGACTTACCCCCTTTGACCTGTACGCAGCGGTTTGCAGAACCTCTGCCCAACCTTGGCAGTTCCCAATTTTCCCGAGCCAATCGACAATAGAGCCCATTTTGCAGCCTCAAACCCTAGAGGCGGAAAATTGACCCTAACAATCCATCATACACGCCTCGCCCCAATTTTTTGACGGGATCTTGTTGGCGCCTTCCCCCCCCTCCCCCCTCACCCCCTCCTTACCTGGGTCGAAGTGGGTGCAGCGCATTCCCCAGCCGACGGGATACGCTCGATGGTCCACCTCGAGCGGAAGAAAACATCGGAAGTTGGAGCTCCATGGAACCCCAGAGAGGGGACCAAAAACCACTATACAAGGTCAATCAAATCAAGAACCCCAGAAGTGCGCCAAAAGTCCGGGACCAAAAACCACTAAGGTCCATCTAATCAACTGATCCCCCCGCCAAAAAAAAGGCAACAAACACGGCTGACGTCCTCTTCCACAAGGGGAGCTCCCCAATTACAACAAAGACACGCCCGCATTCCTTTTCGCGTTCCCCTTTCGGGCCAAGTTGGCTGATGTGATTTAGATGCAGGAGATGGACAAATATCATCTCCAACTGAGGATGGCGTTGGATAACTCTGTGGCTTACCAGTTGAACAGCAAATTCCTGCTTACTAGAAAGAAGCGATTGTCCCACGTGCCATGCTTTGTGGGTCATACGATTTACACTGTGTTGCCTGATTTGGAGTCTTGAATGCAGGGTCACATTCCCTTTGGCAGCTGCACAAGTACGATTTGCAGTGCTTGAGCTGTGCTCACGATACAGAGGAATGTAAACGTGAATCGAAGCTGTGCACTGGCAGTCATCGCCGCAGTCCCTGCAAACACGGGTGGTTCTCAAACATTGGTGACCCCACAGCCTCGCTAAGTCATTGATTTCATTTGGGCCCTACACACGTCCACAATGCAGGTCACCCATAGGGCAAAATGTGGTGTCTGGCATGTGGGCTCTAGGCCTCAAAAGTGGCGGTGGTGCGGACAGAAATTACGGCCCAGCTTTTCCCTGGTAGGTGACACAAGTAAACATGAACAATACACTGGCAAACATGCGGTCTTGGACAAATACCCAAACTCACACGCCCATCCCTTTCAACATGGAGGGGGGGGAATACTCAGCTCCCAGCACCCAGCACCCAGTTGAAGCCAGAGGGCAGGCTTTACCTTCACGGTGTCCTCGTCCACCACGTGCCGCTCGTCCTTGCAGATCCCGGCCCAGAGGCGCTCAATCACCTGCGCCAAAGACCCAAAAAACACCACCACTCGCTGAGCGCACCAAACCGGGACATCCAAAGGGATGCTCTCGGGCACTCGCGGAGTATGTGGGAGGATGCGGGATGGATGTGAGAGATGGTGGGCGGATGGTGGGGGGATGGTGGGCGATGGTGGGGGGCTAGAAGTGCCATTGGATTGAGAAACCCTCATCCTGAAGCTTCTAAAGTTGCTGGGAGCCAACGTGGATGTTCAGCCATAATGATTACCTGATGGCTCCGGGCCAAAAGCAGAGGACCCAAAGGCAAACTCTCAGGCCGTGTCTTGGTCCATTCAAGCTATGGCAAGCCAGTGTTTTCCAAGCTCCGCAGTGAGGGTCGCATCCCTGCGAGCAAACCGCTTTTTCACAAAGGCGAGGGTCCCTGCGACCCAGCGACGGCCTCAAATCGAAATCGTCTCCGAAGGTCGCGGGACATCACTCCGTCAAGCTAAATCAACCTCAGCTTCTCCGTGGAAAGCAACCTCTGTAGATCTTGGGCCCATATTCGGTCAGATGCCTTTTCCAGCTGCCCAGTGATCAGAAAGGTAGAACAGAGTTAACCCTTGTTGATCATTTTGGATCCCGGGCCAACCACAAAAAAAGGGAAGGGGAGGTGCCCCAAGGATAACTTGGACCAGCCCCAAGCAGCCCGCCTCCGGGCTGCCCTCTAGCACCTGCAGCCCGCAAGCGATGAAAAGAGCCCAGCACCCAGTCACCCACAAGTGTTAAGGGGGCCCACTGTAGAACTCACGGTTCTTGCCGGCTTGCCAACTCTGCAGCCAAGGAATCCCTTGGGCCAACAACTGCTTGTAACAAACGGGTGGAGTTGCGCAGGGAGTCATATCCTTTGTGACCCTCCCGCAAGGCTTCCAGTAGCAAACAGCGAGTTGGCAAGACCCTAGAACTGGAAACACCAACATCCTACCCTTCGTTCAAAAAAAAAGGAATTACCGCCGGAAGTGTCACAGGAGGGTTAGGGAGGACGACCGTAGGCATGTCAGCTACTATTGTTGAAGCAAAGGGTAAAGGCCCCACTCTTTGTTTCTCGAAGCTCAACCCTTGAAACACGGCTAGCTGACCCTGCCTGCCACACCTGCTTCAGCTTTGCGTCATAGCCTTGGCAGCTACAAGGGGAAATGGGGTGGGCCTCTTGCGCCAAGCGCATCGCATGTGGCACGGGGCGCCGAGTATATAATATATTATAAAGGATGCCATGCGGCCATTCCAGTTGTTCCTTATTTAGGCCCGGTGAGTACCAAGGCCATTGACGAGGCTTCGGCACATGTGACCCGACACCTTGGACAGCAAGTTGGCCGCCGCGGACCTCGGCGAGACGTTTTTCTCCCACTCAAACTGCCCTGCCCCCCTGTCAACAAACATGGTTTGGGGCCAGGCAACCCATTTTCTAAAAGGACAAAAACCTTATATACACTCTTACAAAACCCGGGCACTTCCATAACCCGCGGGAGGGGATTGATGGGAAATGACTCCACGTCGCAAGTTTGAGGGTCTGGTTCCGGATGTGGTGGCCGTCGTGCAACGTCGCAATGTGGGAACCCCTGCCATGCCCTTGCAACACCCCAAGCCACTTCTGATCATTCTGATCCTTTCATGGGCCGAAGAGGGTGGGAAACGTTGGTTCGTGCTGTCGTGTTATGCTTGGAGGGCGCTGGATTCTCCATCACTGTGGCCGAGAGCGTTGGCCGCAACTTCACGAAGAGGTTGCAAACGTTTGCGCTCATCCACCAGGTTTCTCAAACCTTGTACCCCGCGTTTGGGTTGCATCAAAGGAACCACATAGGAACTCAAAAACAAAACAAACAATTACTTCGCTTCGAGCAATCCCCACCCTCCACACTCACGAGCTTACGACCGTGAACTCGAGTGGCTTGGGGCCTTATCCACCTGTCTGTGTGTCAAACTCCACTTGTCTGCGAGCCGATCCCGAGAACTCAAACATCAGTTCCGTTAACAAAAGCCAAGCCCCTTCCAAAAAGAAACCCGGCGGGGGATTAAACGAAGTTGCTTATTCACAGCCCAAAGCAACACACAAGCATCACCCTTTCCGAGCCTCAGGGCAAACTCAAAGCACGAAGGCACCAACATCAAATGTAAACCCAACTGTGCGCCGGGCGGGACATTAAGCAAAACCAGACTGGCGAGCTGCTCTGGCGGGATACTGGCGGGATCCACTGGCGAATACTGGCGAGCCGCGCCGGATACTCGGCAGGATGGCAAGGGACACTCAGCGGGATACTCGGCGGGATCCACTGACGAGCTACTCTGAGATACTCAGCGGGATACTCGGCGGGATGCTCTGCAGGATCCACTGGCGAGCCACCCTGGCGGGACCCACCGGCGAGCTACTCTGGGATACTCGGCGGGATGCTCGGCGGGATCCACTGGCGGGCTGCTCTGGTGGGATACTGGGCGGGATCCACTGGCGGGATACTCGGCGGGATCCACTGGCGAGCCGCTCTTGCGGGATACTCGGTGGGATCCACTGGCGAGCAGCTCTGGCGGGATACTGGGCGGGATCCACTGGCGAGCAGCTCTGGCGGGATACTCGGCTCTGGCGGGATACTGGGTGGGGGCGTGGTGTAGAAGCATCGCAAACGCAGATTCCAACATAAAATCTAACAACCCCTGTCGGGTGGGGGAAAAACAGCTAACGGCACCCGTTTGTGGTTGGCTGCCCCATGCCCTCCAAGCACCTCCCTGATCGTACCAACCACTAACCAAGTGCCCTGCCCCTTCAAGCGGGGCACGTTATTGATGGTTCGAAGCCCCAGTACAGAACTTGTTTCTTTCAGGTCACCTCCGGGCCCCAGCACGCCAAGTAGAACTCGGGGCCCCCGCTGCTGCACAATGCGCTGGATCTGCGTAAAGGCCGAGGTGGGGTCGCCGCGCCTCAGATAACGTACCCTCCCACCCTCTTCACATAAAACCTGACTTTCGGCAAGTACTGGAAGACCATTTTCCTTTTACAGGGAGTCAAGTTCCATGTTAATTGGTGGGAGGGCAAATGGTTTCTGACTAGGGTTCGGCAGCTCAACCCCTTTCAGGGCAGTGGGAAATGGAAGCCAATTCTGTGATACAAAAAGGGCTAACCCTCGTGTAAAGGAGGAGATTCCCTTTGAAGCAGCCAACCTCCCATCGGCTTCCCTTCAAAGTGGACCAGGCTAGCCCCTTTGGACCTGTTGAAACTGCTACTGTTAAGCAACCTCCCCTGGTTTCCTGAAAGTGGACCGGGCTTGATAGTTGAAACACATGTGTGCCTTTTTGGAGGGTAACCTTTTCTGGGTAGAGTCCCTTCTCATTTAAGGGCAAACCGATATACCTTAATGGGCTTCAGGATGCCACACGCACCATGCAAGTTACGTGAAGCGCTATGGGCCCTGATTGTTAGAACCGTTGTAGGGCCCCCCCTGAATGCCCAGCGAAGGAAACATGCCTCCGAAGAATCAGCGCAGAAATTGTCTGGCCCTTTGTCTGTCATTTGTGTCAACTGGATGCCAACCTGAAAAATAAAGCCGAGAGGTCCACACCCGTTTTCCTTATTTTGGCTGGATCAAATGGGTCCAACGAGCTGGAAGGCCAAGAAAAAGACACGAAGAAAGCTACTTTGATGTTCCAGTCACCCTCTTTAACACCCCGCGCGTTCATTGGGCACTTGCTGGGCCAGGAGAACTTGACACTGACACATTCAGCATCCAGCAAAAGCTCGCGCGCGTTGTCAACTGGGCTCTGGGTGGCAGTTTGCTGGGTGGATTCTTTCACGGGTTCATCACTTGAGCCACCATCAACAGGGGAAAGTGAGGATACTATAGGACAGTCCCACGCAAACATAGGTGCTATCAAGTCATAGGCCAAATATCGGTACGCTGACTTGCTGGCTTGATTGCATACCCTTGTGGCTCTATTCGGGTGGGAAACGACAAGTACGGATTTATTTCGGTCAATTTGGCACCCAGCACTTCATCAAGGACACACCCTTTCCAAACCACACTGGGCGGTCCCTCCATCCGAAAGGGCGACGCTTTCCCAGCTTGGCAATGCAGCTGGAAAGTCCCAGCCAGCTACACCCCGACCCCCCAACCAACGCTTCCAACCCCCAAAGCCCTCGTGGCCCTCAACCCCTTCGCCCACTTCACCAGAGCCGCATCGTGGAGGTGTAGGAGATCCGGGTCAATTCCTCGCCATAGGCGTCCTTCTGGCCAAAAGGAAAACGAGGATTTCGCTGGCGACACGGGGGCCTAAAATGGCTTCCCGCTGACAAATTGAGCCAACCCCAACAAGAGTGGCCTCCAAAAACACACACACACACACACAAATGAAGCAAACTAAACCAGTGGAACCCTTCTCCCAAGAAAAAAGAAGAGAACATCTACACTCCTGGCAGTGGCACTTCTTCGACCACGCCAGGCCGGCACAGCCACCTGGCGAGAAAGTCAGGCAGGTGCAGGGCCGCCCAAGGTGAGGTTTGGGGCTTTGGGTCAGGCACATTTCCCCGGTTGGCGTATGGAACCCAGCTACAGTTGAGGAATCAGGCGCTGCAGTGCTAGACGCCTTGCACCTACAGGTTGGCCGAGCAAACCCCTCCGGTAGCCAATTAGAGGGGCCCAGGACCAGTGCAAGCCACATAGATGAGCCAGACAACCGCCGGCCTGACAGAGCCACAAGGGCTGAACAGTGAGTGACTCACGTTTTCTGTTTGATTGCATGACGCCACTCTGATACTGATAGGGGGGGGCACAAATACACGTCCTAGATTCATAGGCAATCCCTGTTTTCAACAGCCTCAATCATCATTCTCTCCGTGGCTGGGCGATTCGTTGCCCCTCTTAAGTTCTAAAAGTATCCCAGCAAGAAGGTGCAGGGGGTAATCCAGTTCTCTAGTTATGGGTGTCAAAATCTGGAGCCTCCTTCGTAGGCATTCGTTGGATTCGTTGGACACCTGCGACTTGGCGGGGGGTCAGGTTACCTCCTTCTTGGGAAAGTGGAGTGCCCGGCTGAAATGTGCAGAAATCCGATTTTGGCTCGTGCTTTGCGGAATAGGCGATTTTGAACCCAACCCACAAGACCACAACCCGAACAGCTGACAACAAAGGCCGTTACATTCCCCGCCCAACAATTACACCCATTCAGGGACAAAGTCTGCAAATGGCCGAGCACCCGCCATGGCCCTTCCCCCCCCAAAAAAAAAGAAGAAGAAGGGAAGCATCAGGCCCTCTACACCCTAGGAACCCGCCAAAATCCAAGCAGCCGCCCATGAAAGAGAGCCAGCCCTCACCCCGCCTCCCAGCACCGTGGAAGACAGGCGGAACCCCCAGCGCTGCACGAAGCACGCCATGTCGCGGGCGGCAAGTGCCGGCCTTTTTTGGGAAGAGGCGATGGGACGTCACCCGGCCTGGGCCCGTTTATGTCAAGTCGGCTGCTAAGTGCCAGCTGACACCTGTGTGTTTCTTCGCTTCCGCCCGGCGAGGAATTCGGCCGAAAGAGAGCCGTCCGGGAAGAGAACAGGGTGGCACCGTCGCGTCCTTTCCGCCCCGCTGGGAGCCAAGAGACGGAGCGAATCCACCCGCTGGTCGCTGCCAAACCGGCATTCGCGATGCCCTTCCCCTTTCTGCTGCCTTTGCCAAGGGAAACCCTGGAAATCATTCAGGGGGACAACCCATTGACATCATGCGGTGACATCCATGCTCAGGGGGTCTGATTTGATTCAGATCTGCAAGCCCAAACGCGCAACCTTCAAGACACGCAGGTTTGCCATGGTTACAATGGCACGCGCTTCAGTCCTTGTCCTTATCCATGAGGCTCCACTCTTCGGAGCCCCACCTCAATAAGGGTTTCTGGTGGGCCTGGCAACTGTCACTTTCCACCCTGCCACTTGGGCTGCCCCTGGTTTGGATTGGAGGCTTGTGGTTGGAAAGTGCCCCCTTGGTTTCATCAAGAACCAAAAGTTCGAATCCGCAATCACCAATACAAACCAAGAAAACTCAAGTCATGCCACATTTGGCAATGCCGTTTATTCACATGCCACATCTGTTACCAGCGTTTCTACACAAGGAAGCAGGCGCAGGCCAACTCACTGAGAAAACACGCATGGCACCAGCCAGCGGTCTTCGAATCCCGCCGCGCGAAGCATTGGGGGTCTCTTAGAAGGTGATGGCCTGTGGGGTGAAAAGACCACAAGGTGATGACATTCAAACCAGCCAAATGGCTGCATGTCACAGCTGACCCTCTCTTCAGCGTCAAAAGAACAACCAAGAAGTGGGAGCGAACTTTCCCCAGGGCCACCCCTACGTTTCCGAGCTCGGGGCCCCAGGTAGGTGCACATGTGCCGACATTCCATTGCCTCCAGGAAGCCTGGGCAAAGCCAAGAGACCTGGTATGGTTGAACCGGGCGCCAAACAAAAAGAAGGTGTCTCCAAAATGTGCAAAGTATCTGTCCCCCGTTGGTTTCCTGTTTGGAGAAGGAAGCAACATGCATAGCGATTGGATAGCTATTGTTGGGCATCAGTGATGCACCTCGTCAATGAAGGGAGCACCAAGCCTACTGGTCCAAACCCTCTGCTACCATCGGACTGCATGAAATTTGAAGAGAAGAGGTCGCCCATACTCTGATGTGGCTGACCGGCCGGTCTCAATGTGATAATCCCTGCGGACGACTCTGAGCTAAATGATTGCTCCGGCCGGTGAGCAACTGCCGGCGCGACCCCCTGAAGCCAGGGACATTCGAAAGAACCGCCTTGACACAAGGAGGAGCCCGTAGTGTGCCATGAAAGCACGTTATGCTGTCAAGGAAGCCCTGAAGCCGTTGAGCGACAATACATTCACCCGGTTCGCCTGAGTCATCCTTGTCAAAGCGCCGGAAGGCCTGAAACAGGCCGGCAGAGACAGTGAAAAGGTCAAACAGCTGTGATTGATTGATCGATCGATCGATCGATCCATCAATCAATCAATCAATCAATCAATCAATCAATCAATCAATCAATCAATCAATCAATCAAATCAATCAATCAATCAATCAATCAATTGGTTGGATGGGTTGGTTGGTTGGTTGGTTGGTTGGTTGACTGGTTGGCTGGTAGGTTGGTTGGTTGACTGGTTGCATGGTTGGTTGGCTGGCTGGCAGGCCAGCGGGTTTTGGCTTTTCTTCTGTCTCCCCCTCTTGTCCCGCAACCCACGCGCCACACACTTGGCGCAAAGTCGGTTTCCGGCACGCCTCGGCAATCTGCTGCATGTCCTTGGCAAGCCCCCCACCCGAGATGGGGACTCAAACGCCATGGTGCTATGGCCGGTTGCCCCTTTCAGAAATAACTCGATGACAAACAGCAAAAGCTTGGCGCAGCCAATGGATTTGAGAACCCTGTGACAGTCTGATGACCGCACACTTTCCATCCACCCAGGCTAAGTCGATTCAAGCGGCCGGGCCTCTGTTTGTTTTTCGCCGCAGCACGTGCGAATCTCTCGAACGGAGGCCTGCAGCTTCGTCGAGCATCACCCACACGTCACATACAACCTGCGGTTGTCCTCTTGCCGTGGTCCCGCTCCGTGCCGCTGAAACTGTAGCCAACATCACGCCAGGCTGCCTGTCTTGTCAAGTCAATGTGCCTCGCGCTCGTCTCCTGGCACTCTTCCGCCACCTGCATCATGCATGTGCGTCCTGGGTCTGCGCCGGATCTCGATACTATTGCTTCCGAAGAGGCTGTCTGCACCGATTGACTAGCCGTCGCCATCAGGGCCAAGAAAAACATCCCGGAGCTTCTGGATGAAGCAGAAAATCTGATTGGCCTGCTCCTGAATCAGTGCGAAACGGTCCAAAAGGTTGCAGCTCTTGCTACTTTCGGCCTCCCTCTCCAGACTCACACACCCCCCACCTCGGACCATACGCCCCAAATCTACAGACTCGCACCTCCCGGCGAGAAGAGCCAACACCTCCCCCACCCGCGCAGACTCAGAAGAGCCGAGCCCGTAGCCTACGGCAGCTCTGGTGCCAGCGGTCCTGCAGCTCGAGGCTCCTGGCCAGGTGCTTGTCCGGGTGCCACTCCCGCAGCAACTTCCGCAGCTGCTGCCGCCGCTCCTGCATGCAGGAGCAAAGGGAGGACAGGGGGGAAAAGAAGAAGAGAAGGGGGGGAAGAACAACAATTGGAGAGCGAGAGAGAGAGAGAGAGAGAAAGAGAGAGAGGGAGAGAGAGACAGAGAAAGAGCGAAAGAGGGAGCAGGGAGCTGAGAGCAGCAAGCAAAGAGCAGCGAGCAGCAAGCAGTGAGACCGAGAACGAGAGCGAATTGGGTGAGGGGAGGGCGGTCTCCCGCCCCAATCCGATGTTCACTGCTGTTGCTTGTAGCTGGTTGCCCCTGTAGCTGGTGGTGTTCACATGAACACTCATTCTGCAGGATGCTGGCTCGAACTTCGAAGGGCACAGAAATTCTATGTTCGGGAGATGTTGCCTGCGGCTGCAGCCAGTGAACCACCAAAACATGCCAAACCAAACTGAACATACTAAACCAAACCAATCTGCGGCAAAAACCCAATACATCCAAGACCTGAAATACTTGCTGGTGCTCAGAAGGCAATGAGCTGGAACGAACCCAGGCGTTGGTCCCCTTAAAGGAAACCAACAGCAAAGGGATGGTTTATCTTAGGGGCCATTCCCTCTTTCTCACTCCCATCTCTCGCACCAGCAAGAATATGAGGGCAAACCCGAAGCCTTGAGCTTCTCTTCGGCATCCCTTAGGCTTCCCGGGTAGCGCCAAAGCGCCGTTCGCGTCTCCTCCGCCGGCCGTGCCGCATGGTCCCGCAGCCGCTTCAGCGCCTCCACGGCCGCGGGCCCCAGCGCCGCCGCAGCCTGCGCCGTGGGGTTTGCGAAGAGCACCGCGGCGCTGGCGGCGCAGCGGGCTCCTGGCGGACTGCCGTTGCTTAGGTGGGCTTCGTTTGTTTGTTTGCTTGCTTCATTGTTTCTGTGCTCCATTGGTTGGTTGGTTGGTCGGCTGATTGGTTGGTTGGTTGATTGGTTGGTTAGTTGGTTGGTTGCTTGGTTGGTTGCTTGGTTGGTCTTACCCTGTCTCCCACTAACATAGCACCTGTTGGAGGGTACCTGGAAGATCAATTTGCTCCTCAAGGGAGCCTCTGTGAAGTGCCATGTCAGTTGGAGGGAGGGTAATTGTTTCTTTTGGTCCATTGGTTGGGTTGATTTGGTTTGGTTTGTTTTTGATCGGGTCGGCCCATTGGTTTGGTTCAGCTGGTCCATTGATTTGGCTTGGTTGGGTTGGGTTGGTTTGGCTTGTCTGGCCACCCCACCCACCAGTTTTTCCCCGTCCAAATTCCGTAAAGCCTTAATTTCTAACTTGTTTCAAAAGATATCGCTGCCCAAGCAGCGATCAGGACGCCCCTTTTTTCGCAATCAGCTTGAACCGGCAGCTCCCAGCAAGGTCCAATATTTTTTGTTCGCTTGCTTGCCTGCGTGCCTGTGTCTGCCTGCGTGCCTTGCTTGCCTGCTTGCTGCTCAGTGGGGAATGTGGGGATGAACCCAGGGGTCCCATCATTTATAGTGGTCAATCCCTCCGAACCCTGCCGAGCACCAGCAAGGCTTGTCTAGGTCCTCCAGTAGAGAGGTTAGAATAAGTTGGCACCAACCTTTTTTCTGTAGTCTATTCCCAACCAAAAAAGAAACGGTAAAAGGGCACTACTGGGGGACCCAGTTGTGTCTGGTTGGCCGTCGACCCACGACAATGGTCGACCCTCCTGCGTGGCCATCGCTCGGGCGCCAGAGCTCGGGCGCCGTGACCAGCCCCAGACGCCCGCAGAGATGGCGCCGCCAGGGCTCCGGCACCTGCGCCAGCGCTGCCAGGGCCTCCCCAGGCCTCGAGGCGCGACTGGGGTGGGGGGTGGGGACGGGGGGGAGGGAATCGCTTGATTGAGTGTCAATTTTGGAGAACAAGTGGAGCGGGCAACCATCATTGTGGGAAATCACAGGTGGGTCATTCCCACAACTGCGCTGTCACTTTGACCAGGACCTCCCTGGGCTTCACAGAAAGTGTGAGGTAGCACTGAACTGAACACGCACTTTTAAAGTGCATATCGCAGGTAACCAAGGGAGTTCCCACCCTTTTCAAAATTTATGTTTTCTAGAATGGCCGGATTTTTGGGGGCTGCCCGTTTTACGCTTGGTTTAGAGGGAAAGCAAAAACAACAAGGAATACCGACGTCCCACAGCTGAGCTGGCTACCTCTACTTGCAAGACAGGGGAGGTCCGGGCCAACGACTCGAGACACCAAAGGTCCGGGCCAGCAACGTGCATGTCGTCTCGCTCATTTTCAGGCGCATAAAGCGCCGCTCGCTCGGCGTTTCGTGCCGCATTCCTCACGAGGAATGCGAGGCTGGTGGATGGGTTTGAAAGTGAAAGGTGCTCCCGCGACGTATTCCTGAGCTCCGGACCCCCAGTGGCCATGGGAAAAATACACAAGCGACCGTTGTTGGGTAGTTCTTAAAGGCACCTCCCTCCAAATAAAGGAAAAGGACAAGCCGTAGGCGTAAACCCACCGGAGGTCTGGGACTAGCTGAGCTGAGTGTCACTTGCACTGCAAGCATCCCCTCACTCGCAGTGCCGGACACCTTGTGCCCCTCACCCCAGAGCACAAGGGCAAACTCTCAGCATGAGCCATAGGATTGAATGGGTGGGCTGCCTTCACTCAAATCTGCGCCCGGCACTAAGCTCTACCAATTCCCTTCTCCCTTCACTGGAGGACAAGGCCCTTCGTTGCACCGGTGACGTGAGCCCTGCACAACGAGCACCGAAGCTTGTAGCTGCTCTGGCACGTGCCGCAAATCACGTGGCCGTAAGGCACTAGAGCCATCAAAGAGCTATGGCCCTCAGAATCTGGAGCTGGAGGCTCGGCCCCTAAGTGCCAGGAGGCGCTCACGCGCCAGAAGCGCCCATTGGATTCCTGCACCTGGGCCCCCAGCTGCTGGACACTCTGCTTGAAGACGTTGAACGCGGCATCGAAGTCCAACGCTCCGTCTCCCTTTGGTTTGTCAATGGCATCAATCACAACAGCAAGACTCGTCTTGCCCTGCGCTGCCTCCTCCATGCACCTCGTCCTGAAGAAGTCAACCTGCTCATTCACCCACCGCTCACTGCTAGCGCGGTTCCGGTCCTGCGCAGCTCGTGCCGAGTCCGCAAGCTGCGCTAGGAACGACATAAGGCTAAGGCTAACGCCCCGCTTTGAGCCGAAAATCGGTAAAACAAAACCTAGTTGTCGATTGGGCCACAGGACGGAGGCAGGCGTGTCGTAAAACAAAAATACACGTGAAATGCGTTGTTGGTACTGAATTCCTCCTCCAAAAGGTGTTCGCAGATGTTGGTTGACAACGCCCTTCAAACTACTGTACTGCATGGTCTAGATAGAATGGCCACGCCTGGTAAACTTGCCCACTCTTGGTCTTAGTTGACACTATGGGCGCTCCGGCATGGACCCCAACGAAGGCACTTGCGTGCCTGCCTCTGCTACAGCTAGAAGGATACATTTAAGACCCCCTTACCATCGGCCCAGGGCCAAGGGCGCTCAGATCTCGTTTCCCAAAGTTTCCGCCAAATTTCTGCGGCCCACTCCCCTCACCCATGTCTGCTGGCCAGGCCTGTCTGACGTGTCTGAGACTTGCCAAACCAGCAACCGGACACGTCAGACAAACCAGCCTTTCTCAACCTGGCATGAGACAAGACTCACATGTCTGAGACTAGCCTTGAGCCCAGCCCAGTGCCTGACACCCAGCCCAGCCCGCCCACCCCGCCACGCTCCGGCTGCCTAATTTGAGACTCGCCCAACTAGCAACCCACCCAAGCAAGGGACACGTCAGACAACCAGCCTTAACCTGGCATGCTTGAGACAAGACTCACATGTCTGAGGCCCACGCTAGGCTGGCGCACCAGCACAGTCTAATTTGAGACTCACCCAACCAGCAACCCACCCAAGCAAAGACAAGACTCACATGTCTGACCAGCCCTGTGTCTGAGACTTTGCTCAGCCCAGCCCAACCAGCAACCACCCAAGCAGGCCCAGCCCAGGCCCTCCACCAACCACAACAACCCAGCTCGCCCTGTCTGCTGGCTCCATGACTCACTCCTTGTCCTGTGCATCGCCTTGCCCTTGCCTCGGGCCCATGACATCAATTGGTCCAACGATGCCAGAACCTGCCATGCCACTTGACCAGCTCTGCTGCTTGCAGTCGAGCCACAGACGCTGTGCGCTCGGCTGGGCCAAGGCGGGCAAAGCGCAGCGTTTGCAATTACTGCCCCAACCCCCGCCCCCAGGCCTAACACAAGGCATGGTCAAGCTGGGTCCTGAATGGGAAATCTGGAAGACTCGGAACATGATCCATCAGCTTTTCAGCTGTCCTTCAGCAAAAACTGAATGAAATTGAAACTTCCAGGCCACTTCGCACCCAAGGCTCACAACGCGTTGGGGCCAAGCTGCTGCAACTCCTCCCTCGCCAGCCGCAGTAGATCCGTACCGCACGGAGACACGGCAAGGCGCCCGCTGAGGTCCCGGCAGCCTGGGTCCGCCGAAGCCAGCCTTGGACCAAGGGGTTGACCCCAAAAAACGGCAACTGAGAATGAAAAAAGCGGCAACTTTGGCTATCTAGGATGGCCCTTTTTTCTGAGGTCCATGTTCAAGAGCTTCCGATTCATGCGAGGGAGAGGGGCAGGCAAATCTCGAACGGCTATTGATGATTGAGGTGTATTGATGAGGCGTCTGGGAGAGCTGGGGACTCGGGTGGAACAAGCTGCCCGTCTTGGATGATGCGTGCGGGGAAGCCTTTCAAAGCCGGCTGCCAGTTCGAAATGGATAAGAAGCCAGCCCACCCAAAGGATTGACGCACAGGCTGTGGCAATGCCAGTCAGGGGCAACGTTATGTGCTCCAGAATTGGCTCAAGCAAAGTGGGCACTGCACCGCAAAATCCTTGTCCATTCCGTTGCGTCACACGCATGGGGCAGGTGCGGGCGAGTGTCTCAGGGTCCGGTTCTACACAGGCCTCCTAAAAATCGCAGGTTTCCGTTGGGCAAACCCCAGGAGCCATCCGGGTGTCTTTCTTGACGGTCCCCTGTTGGTTCAAAGGGGGGCCAAGGGCATGCAGCCACGGCTGCAAATGCGGAACCCCTGCCCAGGAACCCCTTTGCCACTTTCAGATGAAGCAAAAGCAAAAACGACATCATCATGAAAGAGTTGACCCCTTGGAAAACGAGCAATGCAAAAACACATGGCCATGGGTCACAATCCAAATCGTACCCCCAGTGAACATCCCATTCAATCCCCACTAAAAAATAGGTTCTAAAATGGGTGGTGAATTCACCTACCAACCAAAATGGGATCCCAGTAGCTTTGACAACCACAGCCACATAAACACATGAGTCATAATCAAAACCCGGTATTCAAATGGTCTACCCAGAACCATGTAAAGAATGATGAAGGCCGCAGCTATTTCTGGCTCGGGGGTGTCCCTTAAGCCGTACTAACCTTCATCTACCCGGGTTTTGAAGACGTGGCTCACATCGAAACACGCAAGCAGTTCTTGTCTGGGCGGCAGCAGTTGCGCCACGGCCGCGGCAGAAGTGGACAGCCGGGCGGCCTTGAAGAGCAGCGTCTCCCCTGGCGTGAGTCAGAGAGGGGAGGGCCCAAAACCAGCTGGGGGTCGACCAAAACATGCAGGTGTGTTGGGGGTGGGGTATGGGTATGGATGCTAACTGGGGACCCTTTGGTGGACATTGGAACTACACGGGGCTTGAGGCTCTATGCCCACAAAGCTGGGCAAAATATAATTACAACCCCCAGCCTGATTTCAGGAATCCCAGGAGTTTTCGTGGAGCTGGAGCTCGTTTTACCGCGATCTCGCCACGTTTTCTGCTCATGTCCACCCAGTTTCACGTAGTACCTTTTTGCTGCCTCTCCCACCTAAACGCCTTTCTTCCTTTGTGTTTCTTATATGCCCACCCAAAAGAGGCAGACGCGTAAAAAAGGCTTCTGCGTTGTTCCCCACGTTTTGAGTTGAACGAGCGCAGTTTGCAGTCGTTGAGGTCGCCTCGGAGGTCCCAGGCGTTGAGGTCCAACTTCCGCAGGGCCTCGAGGTCCAAGGCGCCATTCAGCTCGACCTGCCTCCGGCGCAGTGGGCGGTGCGGCCAAAACGGCGCGGTGGGCGTGGGGAAGGAAGGCTCCGCAAGAGCATGGCAACCTTAAGGGAACTCAACGGGTGCGTCAATATAGGTCTCAAGGGGCTTTGGAAAAAAAATGAGGTGCTCTTGAGCGGACCTTAGTGAGGTGCTTCAACTAGCGTGGTCAAAACCATGGTGTAAGCCATTGGTTGGCCCAACCCTGGTGACGGTTTTCCGCCACTCCAAGGCGCCAGCGCAAACCACCCCCCCCCCCCGATTCGTGGGCCCAGGCCTGTAGTAGGGCGACGCCTCGAAGCCTTTCCGATGGAAGCGCCCGGGGAAGAACTGGTCCGGGCCGTTTTCGAAGCAGCCCTCCACGTCCGAGGTGGGCGACAGCCCCCGCCGGTCGCGGCTCAGCCAGTGCCTTGGCTGAATTTTGGGCTCGTATGCGGCGCTGCCTTACAGGGGACCCCGTTTTGGGCTTCGTTGCCTGGGGGAAAGAGAAACCAAAAGGACGGCCCGAAAAAAGGACGAGGGCCGTCGGACTCTTTTGGGATGTACGTCTGAATGAACAAAACACCCACGGAAATCCAACGTCACCCCCCCGCCCCCCGGCCTGTGCGGGCGCATCAGCTGGCGCAACATGCTGCCCGAGGGCACCGGCGACACCCCTCGCGCCACTCGCTTCGCACTGTCCAGGCTGTGCTCGCCTCAAAAGCCCAGTGGCCATTGACAAAAAAGGGCACACCTAGATAGCCAAGTTGCTGTTTTCTTCAGTCACTGTTCCTGGTTTTTGGGGTAAAGTGGATGGAAAAAGCAGCAACTGGCGATCCAGGCAGCTTTTGTGGGTTGACTTCACACTTCACAGGGAAAAACCGTGCCACTTTGGGCAACTGGGTCGCCAAAGGACACCGCGGCGTAGACGTAGTCCATGCCGAACCTGGGGCCCAAGAACCGAATGACTGAGCCTTTCGTCATCGCTCCAAGGCAACAGGCCCCAAAGACTATCCATCCGCTTTAGCTTCCCCAAATGGATTTGTGTCAAACTGCGTGGGTGGGGAGGGGAACACAAGATCGCGGCGTGGACCAACTCAAACAATTAACTAGCACCATTCCACTCAACTCCGAACCCGCCTCACAGCATCCACCAAGTCCGCCCCACCGGGCTGGCACACGTAGAAGATGAGGTTGCTGTACTTCACGTGCTGCACCGCGCCCAAATGCTGAGGCTGCTCCGTGATGATCACCTGGGTCGATTATTTTCACCGACAAAGAATGAGCTTGTGGCTGGTTGAAAGGGAAACTGGCAGAAGCAAAACAGGCAAAAAAGACGAAGACATAGTGCTATGGAACATGATGAAACCCCAAAAGGGCAAAACAAGTCTTTAAGTCGGGCGGTGTGCCAGCAGAAAGAGCTTTTGGCCGCCCATGAGCCGCAGCAAGTGGTACAGCTCCTCGCTCTGGTCCAGCTCCTCCGACCTTTGCCGTGGAAGTTGGGCGGACGTGGGCTTGTCTCAACACAGGGGGACCCCCAAAAAGGTTGGTTTTTCTTTTGGCCCAGGTTCAGCCAACAAAAGATACACACTCAAATAGGTCCACCCACAAGGCTGGAGACAACGCTGCCAAACCTCCTAACAAGCATCTACAAACAATCTCTTTGAGGCACCCAGGGCACCGAAGGCTTGAAAATCCAACTCAGCGCCCTCCAACCCACCGCCCCACGCCCCCGCGCCCGGCCTGGCGCACACCCGCACCAGCAGCAGCGGGCGCGCCTGCGGCTCCGCTGACGACCGCACCAGCTCCAGCAGCCGCTCGCAGCGCCGCGCAAAGGCATCCTGCCTCGGACGGCTGAAGGACCCAGCAATCGAGTCGCTTCAGCCAAGGCGGTCCCAGGCACCGCTCACCGCCCGAGCCATGCCGAATGCCGAGCCGCGACTTCAGGCATGACATGTCGTGGTGCGGAAAGGCGTGGTAGGCGGAGCGGAAGGAGGTGTACCCGTGCTCGCCCACCACCTCGAGTCGTGGCAGATCTCCGCCGAGCTTCGTGGGAGGCCCACGCTATCAGAAGTTAGGCTCTCTGGAATATGGTTCCCCCTCCCCCTCAAGTTGTCCATCACATGTCGTGATGTCGCCCCGCAATTTGTTTTTCTTTCACCCGTAAGCTCATCAGCCTCCGAGCCTCGCGCAGCGAGAGCCCGTATGCCACCCGGCCTGGCTGTCATCGTAGTGGAGGAAGTCTCTAAAGCCATGCCGGAAGAAGTAGAGCAAGCCCTCCACGCGTGAGACCAACCAGTCGAAGGGCATAGCCAGCTGCTCCACAAACCTTATCGCCCCACACTTTGCGCGCCGAAGGGCAAAGCGTAGAACGTAGGCTGCAACCCTTCAACTCAGAAGTCCTCCAAGACCTCGTTCTGTGCAACCCTACATACACACCTCTTTGACTCCGGGATTGCTGACTTGAAGGGGTTCCTCTTGAGTGCCAACAGCCAGCAAAGCAATCCAAGAAAGGCAAAGGGGCAGCAGCCAACACATGATGGCATGGTTGGCCGGGCAACCAGCGACCCGGAGCAAACGATCACCATGGAACCTCAAGGAAACACAAAGGAGACTGCATGAAACGAGACCCTCTCCTTCTCTTCCCACCGCCCCGCCCAATTACGTGATGTCGGGTCATGCCTACCCAAGGAAGGCCAAGAGTATGTGAAAAGAGCCAGTGTTCCTAAGGGCCCTGATTTCCTGGACTCGCTGGCTTCCTCTGATCCCCCCGAGAAACCAGGGACCTGGAGAAACCTGCACAAGTGCATCTGACCTTACTACGGCTCATTGCATGAATTCCGCCGTTTACCAACTGGATTGTCTTAGTTGCCATGAACCCCATACAACGAGCAGGAAAGAGGGCCCTCCGAACCACATCCGTATGCCTTGTTCCAAATCCGGGGGCCCCCAACCCGCAACACAAGCAGAGAAACCACGCACCTTGGCGCATGCCTTTACGCGCTGAATTCTGCCAGCCCATCGCATCCGCCCGGCCATGGCGCATCTCGTCCATGGCCTGCTTCACCACGCAGGCGCAGCCCAAACTCGCCACAGACAAACCCATCCCCAGGCGCTCGCCCTTGGAGGGGCAGACCTCCAATGCCGGCTTCGCGGGCGCGAAGAGCGGAAACATGCAGCTTTTGGAATGCGTGTGGTTTCAGCTGGGAGTGGCACAATTCCGTCCCTTTGGCTTAGGCAAAAAAATAGTGCCAGCTACTCTCACGCTGGTCAACATGTTTTTTGCTGTGGGAAGTAGGAGGTGGACCTCCCCACCCCTGCCTCATAGAAACCAGCAGGAACATTTGCGGGAATGTAGTTTTAAAAAACTGTTGAAAGTCTAGCAGAACGTGGTTACTTGGTTGTGAACCAGGAACGCCGAAATAGCAATCTAAGCAGACGGAAATCATGCGCCCTCCGTTGTTTCTCGGCAGCAGGTGAAAAACCAGGCCAGCCCAAACAAGCCAGGAATATCGAAATAGTTAGAAAAACAAACAGCAATGCACGCGTCCGAGCAATGTGTAACGGCAAGTAGCAAAACAGGCCCCCTTTGGTGCCCACAATCTTTTCACCCTACCGCCACCTTTTTGAGGCCAGCTTTCAAGAATGTGCTTTGGTTGCAGGATATACCTATGCGCCCTGGAATAACCAATTCTTTCCTATGGTTGCCATGGTTGCAAAGGGAAATATATCCAAAAAGAACAGATTCCAGGACTTAGACAGAAGGCCTGAGCAAAAAGTAAGTAAGCGAGGTGACATTTAGAGGCGAATCACAAGACCCTTTGCTTCATGTTGGAATCAACATGGCTCAGCAAAGAGCCACATGCTTTCACCCTCGCCCCCCCCCAATTAACATGCAACCCCAAGAGCCGCAAGTCTGTCGAGGCCCCTTTCAGCGTTGGGGCCGGGTTGGCTGCTTGTGACTTCAATGGGTTTCTGGCGTTCCGGGCCTCCCCCGCGCTCAGCCGGCCCGAGGAGAGGCAGTCGTCAATGGCCAGGCACCCTAAGTCCTGGACTAAAACATGGAAATGCACGCAGGCCCCTGTAGAAAGACTACTTCCCTACTTCCCTCTTCGAAAGGGGGGCTGTGCACTTCCATGTTAGTTGGTGGGAGGGTATGTCACATTTGGAGGAGAATCCAAGTTGATCGGAAGTTTCATTGTGTTCAGGTTTGGGAGGGGTCATTGCTACCACCTTCTTGGATTGGACGCTGTCTGTGGCGAAAAACAAGGCCAACCTGCAGAATTTCATAAAACCGTCCGCGGCAGGGCAGGGAGGGAGGGAGAGCTGGCGTCATGCCCTGTGCAACGCTGCATGCTCATGCGTTGCATGTGGCACTTGCAACTTATCACTCGGTCACTGCTCTCTTTTTGAAAGACAGAGCCATGAAGCTAACCGGGACCACAAGCCAGGGCTGTGGCACAGCCACTGAGATGGACCACCAGGCATCGTACAACCAACCAGCCCTGCAGAAAAGGCTCGACCCTCAAGCTGCGCCCCCAATCGTGACTTGGCTGTCGATACGACTCACGAACCGACTTCCTTCGCGCTCGCGGCCGGGCCAGCATCTCTAGTGCGTTTATATGCTGGTGACTTCTCCAAGGCCAACCACGCACCGCCTTCCAAACGTTGCTTCGCGGCAGGTGTTCCGGCCGAAAACGCTGCCCGAAATCCAGTCTGATGTCGGTGCCCTTGGGTTGGAGCCCTCGGCGACCTGGTTTTTGCAGCCACCTTTTTTTCAGCTCAGGCTTCTGAATCCTCAATGTGTCACCAAGTTTCCCCAATCGCTCCCACCACAGATACACAGATTCCAAAACACCTCAAAAGTTCCGCGGGTTGACATCAGTTCCTTCTAAATCCTCAATGTTTCAGCAAGTCCCCCCAGTCGCTCCCAACAGATTTGCAGATTCCAAAACACCACTCTTGCCAGGTTCAAAAAGTTCCGCGGGTTGACATCTGAGTTCCTCAAGATAATCTGCTTGTAGTCAAGCCACTGAAGGCCAATGGCCCTGTCTTAGCAGAACTCATAGAGAGACGTCATGGCTTGAGCATTGCCGAGCCACTGCCTCTTTGCCCAATCTGCGTAGGACAGGTCCTCGACAGATCCTCTGCCAGAACTCAGGAACCACCCACACGTGGCTCCGGATCACCTTGATGTCTTTCACATAGGTGGGTCCGAAACCACATCCCTCCATAGCATCATTGTAGATCTCATACACAAGTAGCAAATTCGTCTCTTCAGATACACTGCCGCGATTTCAGCCAGGGCCTCAATGTCATTCAGCAAGGCTCCCTGCTAAAATTCGCAAGGTGGCGACCCTCGAGTATCTCGAAGAACGAGCCATGAACTCCTCTAGGCGTTATGACAACGCGGACTCCATGCCTGCGCTGTCAGGCGCTAGCCTAACTCAGCTTCAGCTCTGACAGCTGAAGCTGCAAAGTTGGCGTCATGCCCTGTGCAACGCTGCATGTTCATGCGCTGCGCGACATCTAAAAAGCTTGCTTTCTCCGATTATCGTACTCATTGCCCCGGTTCCCTTTTAGCGGATCATTTTGGGGGCATCACTCGTATTCGTCTGATCCTCCGGTCTAATCCGAGGTTCGCATCAGCCCTTTCTTGCACACCGACGCAAATGACAGGGGTCACTGGATTTCCTCATCAAAGAACGCAATTTACTGGTGGAAACCGCATCAAAACGATGGCCACTATTGAAGGTTCCAAACAATCAGAAGTGGAGGAAAAACAGAAGACAAAAGTGAAAACCCGCAAAAAACCGAGAAAAAAACAAACACGGAAAAAACGAACCATTTTAAGCCCACGAAAAACCGGAAAAAAAAGGTGGAAAAAAGCGACCGAAAACCCCGCTCGCTCCAGCTCGTAGCGCCGGTTTTTGACGTAGACCACCGCGAAGCTTTGGATCCTGGACTTCCTCGGGGCGAGAAGAAACGGGGCCGCGTGTGGCAGTGACCGGCTTTGTGACCGGATGGTTTGGACTCGCTCAGTTCGGGAACCCGGAAAAGTCCGCCGACATTGTTCGGCGTGTCGGATACCTAAGAGAAGATAGAGGATAACCCCCCCCCCTCAGTCCCCCCCCGGAACACGTCAATTACGGCCCCCCCCCTCCCCTCCCCCACGTACCGCGCGGCAATTTGATGATGTTCCACTAAACGCAGTCTTCGGGGGAGCCGGTGTCGCAGATTCCCCCTGCCGGCTCTTTGCTGGTTTGGGGTTCCTGCGTCCTTTTGCCGAAAATCTGGAAAAACTCTGTGTTTTTGGATGTCCTAATTGCGAAAACGCTGGAAAACCGTGTTTTTTGCGGGAAATATGGGGGAGCAAAGGGGAAATGCAAGGAAGTGCCAGGAAATGAGGGGAGGAAATAGGAAGTCGACATGACAGGAAAGCAGCGGGAAATGAAAGAGAAACAAAGGGGAACTGAAAGGGACATGCAAGGGACAGAAATGAAAACAAGGGCAGTGCAGGGGGAATGAAAGGGAAACAAAGCACAAGGAAACCAATCGGCATAACGGGAGATGTAGGGAAATGACTCGCAGCGAAACAGCGGGACATACATGGAAAACAAAGCGGACATACCGAGAAAATGTCAGGGACATGAAGGGGGAGTTGAAAAGCATGGAAGGGACATGACCAGGACATCATGGGAAACGTGAAAAGGACATGAAGGGGAAATCAAGGGGACAGCCAGTAGTGAGATGACAGTTCAGGGTCATGAAGGGGCAATTCGCGGACATCGAGGCAACTCAGGGGGGACGTGACGCTGCAATGCAGAGAAAGAGAGAGAGAGAGAGAGAGAGAGAGAGAGAGAGAGACAGCGACAGAGCCAGAGACAGAGCCAGACTCAGAGAAACAGAGAAAGAGACAAACAGAGAGAGAGAGAGAGAGAGAGAGACAGAGAGAGAGAGAGAAAGAGAGAGACTGAGAAAGAGAGACACAGAAAGACAGAGAGAGAGAGAGAGAGAGACAGAGAGAAAGAGCGAGAAAGTGAGAGAGTAGACAGGTTCGAATTAGGGTACCCTTTTTCTGAAGAGGGGCGTGGAGAGGAAGCAGACAGGGAGACAGAAAGAGACAGAGAAACGGAGAGAGGGAGAGAGAGAGAGAGAGAGAGAGAGAGAGAGAGAGAGAGAGGGAGAGGGAGAGAGAGAGAGAGGGAGATTGAGGAGAGAGAGGCTTGGGGGGATGGGGGGGATGGGGAGCAGAGGGAGGGAGAGAGGACGACAGAACACACGAGGGAGACAAGGGAGAGAGGAAGAAGGAGAACAGGGAGAGGACAATGTCGGCTGACTGAGCCGGAGGCTCTAAAGTTATTGCAAGCTCGCCCGCATTCATCTTGCGAAGCGCTCGTAGAAAGTAAAAGGTGGCAGTTTCCAGCGTGATTGATGGAGGCTTGCCGCATGCCCGCCACATTCCACAACGGCCGCATTTGGCCAAGCCTGGGGCAATTCTCTGGCAACATGCGCATCTTGAGCTTGGACGTGCGGGCACTCGGCAACTGGTCGCAGAGGGACGACTACATGCCAAAATAGCAACATGTGCTTGATTTCCCCAACCTGAAAAACCAAAAGGGGAAGGATCATTCTTTCGCATCCCGGAAAACTGACCCAAGCGCCGCGCCCAAGATTTTGCACAACAAACGCCGTCTGCGCCGGGCGTCTCCACACGCCCAACCACGCACCTCTGGCCAAGCAGGCCTGGATGCCCGATGATCACGCAGCGGGCGCCGCAGACAATTTGGAAGCAGCACATGCAATCCTTGGCGCCGGCTCGGCCTATGAAGCGAATGCGACAAAATAAGTTCCACGAGTTCTGGTGGTGCAGAGATTTAGAGAAGATCAGACACGAAAAGGACTTGCTTCTTGACTAACTAAGTGGTTGTGCCACCGCCTTCGACGTCAATCCATGCCCTCTCTCACGTGTGGCATCGGGACTCAAAATCTAGAAGGGCAAGCATGGATGAGGGCCACGGTCGAGAGACCTCTCCGAGACTGGTGCTAATGGACTAACCCCTGGATCAGTTGCATCCCAGAATTCCAAATGGTCGGCTGATGACATGTGTTGTTGGCGCACTTTTCAGCAAGGAAGCAAGCATGCCAGAAAGCCAGAAAGCCAGAAAGCCAGAAAGCCATTAAGGAGGCAGGCAAGCAAGCACATCTCAACACTTGTGCCCAGCACAGACTTTGTTTGCTGCAAGAGTTGGTTCAAGGTTGGGTTCTGTCTCGCAAAGGGGTTTGAGGGCGCTAAACGATAGCAGCCTCATGACCCAGGTCCCACATTGTTGCAGTTGGGGTGCTAGATCTAACAGGTGGCTGGTTAGACCCTTCCCGCTTGGCCCAGGCGCGAGCTTCTCAATGTCCGCCTTGGTGATGCGGTAGGCCCCGGCGGCCCCGGCATCGTCCATGACCACACCGCACCAGGGGTCCGAGACGCCCCGCGGCAAGGCAATCACGGAGAGCTCGTCCAGGCACTTGTAGCAGCGCGGCACCAGCTGGGTGAGCACCCACTTGCGCACGCAGTCGTGGCAGTATGTGTGGGTACCTCACGAGGCGAAGAAACCTGTCGTGAGTCTTGCGCGAAGGAATGGTTCGAGAGCATTGCAAGGGTCATCTTTGTGGCTGCTCGGCTCCATGGAATTTCCAATGCGATGTGTTCAAGGCGTTGACTATCCCGTACCACGCAAGTCACAGCTGTCAATTGAAATGCATCGTTCACATGCCAGCCCGCAGACATGCGAACATAGACATGCATCATCAGGAAATCCTGACATCCCACTTAGAACTGCGAAGGCGCCATGCAACCTTGCCCCAGGCCACCGAGCTGCTGGGGCAGGGCAGCGACATCACCTGGTCCGAAGGACGATCTCAATTTGGCGCCCTCGTCCAATCGAAAGAGGGAAGCAAACTCATGATGCAAATTGCAAGGGCAAAGCGCCTTCCGGGAAATGTCTCATGTCCACCAACATTTGAGATATGTCCCATCAAGAATCATAGCCAATGTTAGCGGCCAATCAAAGAGACCTCTGTCCCTTCCGATCGGTCGATCGGCTGATGTGAGTTGCTGCCCGTTTCGCCCCGCCTGCATCTCCAGAAAGTGCCCCAAGCACATCTCGCAGGACAGCTCCTCTCTGTGACGGGGGGGCTCCTGGCAAGCTTGGCACTCGGCCGAAAGGGTCCCTTCTGGATATCTTCGCTCCCCATGTTCTCCCAAAACATGGAAGGCATTTGCCTGTGAAGATACCAGGCTCATTGGAGATGACTGCAGCGTCCAACTTTCAAAGCCCATACATACTCCTCGGAAATGTGGATTGAATTCCTTTGCCTGGCAAAGAAACAACAAACCCCCAACAAGTGGGCTCTCCTTCACGATGATTTCCGCAAGGGACACCCTCTTCCCCACTTCACACACACAGCCCCCCCTCCAAACGAAACACACAGATACAAACACACACACACACACAAATATATATATATATATATGTATACAAGAACAAAGTGGCCCCCTCAGCCCCCTCCCCCCCCCAAGACAAAAAGGCTCGAAGCCCTCAAGGGGATTCCTTGGAGTCCACCACCTGCAAATGTTCCGCCCCCACATCGATGTGGCCGTCGAAGGTCTCAAAGCCCAGCTGCCAGCGGCTTCCCGCGTAGGCGTTCAGCACCCCCACGTGCCCGTTGAGGTAGGCCTACGGATGATGGCTTCGGCATGTAAACCAATTGGCGTCTGGAAAATGGGGGGACTCCTGTTTTTGGAAGTGGATTTTGGAATGGTTGCAGCAAAAAACCACAAAAAAAGGAAACCACAAAAAAAAACAAAAAAAAAAACAAAAAACAAAAAACAACGCTGAGGAAACCACCAACAACATGTGTCTCTTTTTTTTGTGATTTGACGAGAGGCCATGTGGGTGGCACCCACCGAGCCCGGGCGCCAGCGCCTCAGCGGGTGCAAAGAAGGACGCAGATCCCGGCGAAGGGAAAGCCCGGCTTTTTCGGTCCCGGTTCCCATGGATCCTTGTGGAGAAAAGGGATCTTAAAAGGGAAATGCCCTGGTTGGACAAAACCATGGGCGAAAGGGGTTGGGGATCAACCTCTGGACAACTCGAGGCCTGGCCAAGCCAATCTTCTCAAATCCTGGCTTGGAAAATCACTAGGAGACCCAAATCCTTTCGAACAGAATAAAAGTCTGGACCCTGTCGGCTGAGATGCTGTCTTCCCTTTTTTGTACTTTCACCCGACACTCCTGCAAAACTCCGATCGCAGCCTGCAAGAGCAGTTTCATTCAGCTCGCATGACTTGTTTCTATGGGGGACGCCTTACTTCAAGACCAAGAAGGGAGAGAATGCCAAACCTATAGCAAACCCATGTTGAACCCATGGTACACCCATCACAAGAAAAAGAAGAAAAAAAAAGAGGGAAGAAAAAAAACATGCCATGGTAAACCCGCATGGTTGGCGAGCCCGCATGGTAAGCCCATGTTGCAATCGTGTGGGTAAATCCATGGCACATCAACCCAATACAGAGAAACACGACATGCAAGGCCGCCTTGAGAAGAACCTACATGGATCTAGGTGCCCATGCCCCGCAGGGAGCATGACTCACTTGCAAGGAACAAACGCCGGCTTCAATGAGCAAACATGAGCAAACGCTGGGTTCCCTCAAAGGGAAATCAACCGAAGACTTGAAAAAGAGCTGCGTATCAAAGTTACTCAGTAGAGGCCCAGCACAACAAATGTGGCTTCGTTCTGGCCGGCCCTTGGAAGCCAACTACTTTTCCGCGGATACATGAGGCATTGCCACCCATCTCCGCATGTTCTCCCAAGCCAACATGCCAAAATGAATCAAGATGGCGGATTGTGGAGGTGCCTCCCAGGTGTCCCGGTGTCCCTCCACCCCCTTTGAATCAGCTGTACTTCAACGTCCTTACAGAACTCCTGGAGGCTCCTCGGCTCCCTCTCTTTGGCAAATTTTGATACCCCCAGCTGCTTGTCTCTCCACCCGTCAGCTGGGTTTTGTGAGACTGTGAGCCTTGCGAACCCATCCTGGTTTTTTCCAAGGCGCAGCATGACCCGCATGCCCACTTGAAGCTTCGTGCCGCAGGCGCTCACCATCTCACCTGCGAGTGGTGATCTTTGAATTAAGCGCGTCCTTTGGTTTCCCGTTGGCTTCCGGATGGCTTCCCCGTGACTGTTTTTTCCTAGTTGCCTGTTTCCCCGTCCAACAGCCCCCCTTTTGCTGTTGGTTGTTGTGTTTTTGTTTATCCATCAAAGATTCTGAGAAACCGACTGCCACTCCATGATCACCATGATCACGGAAACAAACAAACTTGGGGCAAGAAACGCGCCCAGCACTGGCCTAGCCCCCCCCCCCCTCCCAACAATCCGTGGACCATGTCTGGTTTTCAAAGACCGCCCATCCTCTTGCAAAGGGCTCCCCTTGTCTACTTCCACGGCTGCTGAGAAAAAACGCTCACCGGCTACCTTCTACTGCCAACATGTCCAGAAGCGGCTCCCTCCCCCTGTTCTCGGGTCTCGGGGTCCGCCTCCCTGTCGCACCGCCAGCTGCTTGTCGCTCCGCTTCGCCGCCTCGCCCTCCAGGAGCCTCTGCAGCGAGGCAAGGGCCTGGTGGAGGTCCGCGTCCAGAAACCGGCAGCAGGCGGACCAGAACTGGTGCCTCACAAAAACCGCGAGGGAAATCCTGTGGTGCCAGCCCCCCAAAGCCGCCAGAGAATTGTCAGTGTTATGCATGTTTGGTCGCTGTTCCGTAAAATCTGTCATTGTTACCACTCCTGCTGCCCCCAGAGCCCCCAAGCGAGGCCACGCAATGGCAAACCCAGAAGCCGCGGGTAGCACCCCCTGATGCTCCACGCGTTGCTTCCGAGGCAGCACCCTTCGCCAACTCTCTCAACCCCCAGAATTTCTCCAACAAACGTGCACACAACACACCAACGAAAGCATGAGGCACAGATCTGGCAACCCAGGCGCAGGTCCCCATGCTTCGCCACCACCTGCTCCACGGCTGTGCCCACCACTTGCATGGCACGCGGGGGCCAGTAGGGGAAGTCCTCCAAAGGGACCCCACATAATCGGGGAGGGGAGATGTGAAGGCCGCCCATTGGCCTTCTTGCTGCCTGCGACTAAATTTGTCTTCCCGACAAACATATCATGTCCAGGAATTCAAGGAGTAAGACAAAACAGGGTGGCCCCCACAAAACAAACCATTCCCAAGGTGCACATGTCCTCCAGGCAAAGCTTCACCGTGGATTCCCGGCGGCAGCTGGCAAGCACGGCCGAATGGCCTTCAGGAAACTTTGGGATCCGTGAGCATGTGACAGAAGCCGCTAGAAAAATGAATTGGGCTTGACCATCTTCCAAGAGGAAGGAAAAGGGCTCTGAGTTTCGATACACCCCCTACAATGTCCCCAATCTTCAATCCGATCTACATATTACAAACATATATACATATCTCTCTCTCTCTCTCCCTCTCTCCTCAGTGCTCATGTATGGTCAAGGGTTCGCAGGTCCCCCCCCCCCCCCACCCCCATGGTGCCAGTCCTTCCCCCTCCGCCCCCTGTGGCCTGTGGCCGGTTTCCCCTGTATGCGACTAAGGAAAGCAAAGGGCTTCAACAGTGCCACTCCCACAATCTGTCAACTCCGCCGCGTGGCCCTTCAGCGCCGCCTGCAGCTTCTGCAATCCACCGAGCACCTCCTCCCGAGTGGTAGTGGAAACTTCCCGTGGCTGTATACCAACATGGCCCTGGTCACTTTGCCACGTGAAATGGGTTTCCCTACGGAAATCGCCTTCAAACTTGGGCCTGGAACCTACCTTACAAAAAAGGGAAACTAAACCCACCCCAAACCCCACCCCAAACCCCACCCCGAACCCCACCCCGAACCCTCTGTCCTCACGCGTCCACTCCTTCGGCCTCGGCATGCGACAGCCACCTTCCCGCTCCGCTTGGGCCCAGCGGCGCCACCAAGCCGGGCACCTCCGGGCCAGCACCTCGGCTGGAGGAGGGCCCTGCTGGCCATCTGGAATGCCAATCTGGAGGGCGGCGGAAAGATCAGAACTCCACTTGAAGGAACCCCCCCGTGGCAGGTGCGAGGCGGGCAGGTGCCCAGTCACAACGCCCCCCCCCCCCAGTGGGAAACTCAAATAAATCGTCCCGTGGACTGGTATAAGGAGCAGCACGAGGGAATGAAATCCATGCGTGATCATACGCGTCACTCAACGCTCGGGTTGGTTCCCCTGCTGGTGAGATAGCAGCAAGGAGTCTCGTTAAAGCACCGAGTGTCTTCCTCTTAGTTTCCCTTTCGCCGGCCAATGGCTATCCGGCATTTTGCGACACCCGCTCGTGCGGCTCGCTTGCCTCGTCCCAGGCTCCAGGCTCGCCCCGCAGCTGCAAAGCTGCCAGCACCTCCTCCCGCACCGCCGGCCGCTTGTCCGACACCAGCAGCGGCTTCGCCGAGTCAGCGCCTGTCTGGTACCAGACCCGCGCCACCACTTCGCTCC